CTCCAACCTACTAGCAATGGCCTCCAACCTACTAGCAATGGCCTCCAACCTACTAGCAATGGCCTCCAACCTAATTGCGAGGGCTTCCTGTTGTTGCCCTTAGGATGTCCAACCGACGGACGTGCAACCGCTCCTGAAGACTGGAAGGGTCATCTGGTGGGAGAGGCAGCACGGTCCAAAGCAGCGCATTCCTCTCATTGCATTGCTTCATTCCATTTCATGGCCAGATTCTCTCCATGTACAGGCCTAACTGTATGTGCATAAGTACTACATGTTATTTTTGTGATATGCCATACGAAGCAATACAGTATATATACAGTATATATATATATTATATGTGTGTGTGTGTTTCCTAGTTCTGCAGCCATGAAGCACTTCTGGACAAGAAGGCGACCATGCTACCACACATCTGCCTTCTCCTCGGCAGCATATGTAGTAGCTGAGGTTACCAACGATTCTTCTCTTGGGTCTTGCATCACAAATTAGGTACCTACAAGTACAGTAAGAATCAGGCCCTGACCCTGGCTGGGCACATACTCGTAGAGCACCTGTGGCTGACTATTGAACTCACGAAAAACGTCCATCCGCTTCAGGGCCGCCTTGGAAGCTGGATCAAAGGAGAAGAGTATCGCTGGATGGCGGGGCCGCAAGGCCCCCAAGTTCCCAGCTGGCAAAAGCAGGAAATAGCCTAAGGAGCACGAGACACACAAGGCATGAGACACTTGCTGTTCCACCTCTGCAAGATATTCCAAGACTTGAGCTTCTCAGCTTCTCACGGCGTCCTGAACTGGGGCCTGAAGGGCTTGATGCCTGCGTGCCATGGCACAGTGTGGATCTACGCTGTGCGTCGACGCTGTGCGTCTATGCTGCCACCGGCCTTCCACCTCCCCACAGCATGAGCATAGGCACGGTGCAACAGCCGATCAGCTTCACTATGATCGGCTTCGCAAGCGTCACACGACATACTTGTTTGCTCATGCAGTTTGTTCGCACTTTGGTCACCTCGGAGCAATGTGGGAAGCTTTCCCTCGCAGAATGCTGGTTACTAGCCTCCAACTCTTCATCTAAGTGGCAACCTTCTTGGCTGTGGGCAGCTTTGAAAGAGCCAGCAGAGCTGTCCGGTTCGCTTTGCTCCATGTAGATTGGGATTCGAATTTGCTTCGGCAGCAGTTCAGCGGGTTTGTGCCTTCTGGCTGGGGTCTGCTTTTGTACCGCTTCACAGCAGCTACCCTCAGAGGAGTCCTGAGCCAGGAACCATGATGAACCATGTGACGTTCTGACGATGTGGCTGGTTCTCACGTCCCATCTCGGAAAGAACTGACGTGCACCAGTCTAAAGGAGCAGCCATCGCTTCCAAGGTTCAAGATCCACAACCCCAGAAAGGCGCTTGCACGGCCTACCAAGGTTGAAAGACTGCTTCAAACCAATCCATCAAGCAAAGTCATTGAAAGAAAAATAACTCATTCTGGGTCGTTCCTGGCCTTCGAGACTTGACCGTGGCTTTGTGTCCTCATGGTCGGGTTTTAGAATAGCTCTGGCAGGCTTGGCTCTCACCCAAAAGCAGAAATGGACAAAAAGAAAGACTTCACTTCACGTCTTGGTTTGTAAAGGGAAATGTTTAAGGAGTCCAACATCATCCCGCAGAATGGAGGAGCCCTGTGCCAGCCTATGCCCTCGTCTCAGGAAGATACTTTTGAGACCCTTTGTCATTGCCTAGGCTCTGCGCACCACATGCGCGTACTTTGCACACTTCTCCGCCTCGCCGGGACTCACAGCTCTCAACAACTCAACTGGGATTCCTTGAGAAGATCTAAGCGGCCTTGGCCAAGCCGTACAGTTTGCCGGCTTTTGCTTTGGCCTCGACAAGCTGGCCACAGTAGCCACAGCTCGAGGCTCGGTGCAACAAAATCCGTGCTTTGGGCCCTAGCAAGCTAACAGGGTGTCTCGGTATTATCAAGCAAAGCATAGCAAGGCAGAAAGCGTTCAGTCTCATGAAATTGGAGGCCTGCACGGTGCGTTGGAAGCACTCCACCGCACGCTGAAGCTCCGCTCCACGCAGCCGCACGTGCACCTGAAGCCGTGCACAAGCTTCACCCTCAGGCTTTCGAGCTTGAGTCATAACTTACCCGTGATATCATGTCTCACCATATTTGACCCAAGCCCACAGGCACGAAACTGAGACTCCAGCTCTGGGCTGAACAGAACACTCCAGTATGTATGTGAACCCCAAATGCAGCATTGACCAACTGAGCGCGCCTTGCCTGCAAAGTTGTGCCAGCCAAGTATTTCCCAGGCAAGTACCTGAATTGCCAGCAAATTAAGATGAAAGCCTAGGTCTAGGTGAATGCGCTCCAAAGCAATTCTCAGATCGTTAGCCAGGTCACACTTCCAGGAGTTGGGCGTGTCGCGACAGAATAGTCTGCAATCGCTTTGGGTTCCGAGTCAAGACTGCCAACGGTGCTTGCCCTCCTTTTTCACGGAGAATCTCGACCACACGCGCCAGTACACGAGCATCAGATTTGTGTGCCCCAGTGACATCTCCAATAGCTGTCACGAGTGCTGCCCTATCCGTTGTCGGCAACAGCAATGGCAGTGGAGGGCATGGCCCTCTTGCGGCGCCCTTGTCACATCTGCTCCGCTTCACTTGCTTTTCGGCCTTAACTTCACCATCTTCATTCGACCGCTCCTCGCATCTCTTCACATTTTCTGGTTCCTAGGCACGAGGGTCCCGCAGGATGTAGACATTTGTTGGAAGCACATACGCTACAGCACATCAAGAATTGCCGAGGCCGAGACTACAGAGTGCTCTTTGACCTGTTCTGTTGAGCCAGCCTTTTGACTATGTACATTGTGCGTCCTTGGCACGTCACCTTGACAGGACACTGGCGATGAGTGGGTGACGGTGAAGCTATGAAGCTTTGGGGAGCGCCTCCAACCCACAAAGGCGGGCTTGGCTGGGCCATCTCGGATAGCTTTTTCACCTCTCCAGCAGTAGTCAAACACTCAGCGTTTTGCACCCCCTCGCACAAGAAAAAAAGAACTGTGCTTCTTGCTGTGCTGCCGGACGCCTTCGCAAACACTCCTGCACCATCTTGCACTCCGGAATGTCTCGGCCTGTGCCTCTTTGAATTTGCCAAGAGGCGCCAAAGCAAAACACATCAATGGAGGGAGGCGCTTTTTCTGCTTCTTCCGCTTCTTCTATTCAAGTGGCCTCGTTTCAAGGCCAATTCGCACTGGCGGCGGCTCCTGGAATTTCTGGGAGCTATGGCAGAATTGAAAAAACAAATGTGTTCAACGTAAGACCCAAGCCTCAGCCGATTTTCCAAAGCGCGGTCGAGGGAGAATATACTCTCGAGGACCTTCCTGGCTCAGTGCAGATGTCACCAGTACAAATGAGAAACATCTTCGGGTCAAATGGAAAGCGAACAGGCCTTCTTCTCCCGCTCTCTTTCCAAGTGCCGGAAGAAAATTCCAGCTGCCACTTTCCTTCAATTCAATTGCAATAACGAGTCCAGTGCTGGATGGATTCACAAACAAGCATAGCTTCATGTGCCAAGCAGCTCAGGATCAGCCCCTTGGCTTTGTCGGGGCTTCTCCGGCCCACAACCCGGAGCCTGCTCTGCTTGTGTGGGTTGCGAAGGAGTTTCCGCAGGCCGTGGAGGCTTTCCGCTTGACTTTGCACCTTGGTAACTTTTGACTTTGCCACTTTGTGATGCGAAAATGCAATCTTCGCATTAGCACCTGCTCTTTGGGCTGCAGCTCTGCATTGGGCAAATCTGGTGAAGGGGCCCTGGCCCACCCCGAAGCACACTGCAAAGTTAACTAATTACAGGACAATAAGTATATACATCAAAATGCGTCACAAACATCCATTCACAAGGACGCTATTAGGTGGAGGCCATCGCAAGTAGGTTGCAGGCCATCGCTACTAGTAACAAGGACGCTACTAGCTATTTGCTAACTTGCTCCAAGACCTTGCAACTCCGACGAGCGGTGGAGGCAGAGCTTTGTGCCGCTGCGCGTCGCACTGGGTCCAAAAGGACCTCCTGCAGGTTGCGTCAAAGAAGTATCCATTTGTTTGTTCTGTTTTGGTTTATGTTTGTTTTGGTGTGTCTTTATTAGTGCTTCTGCTTGTTTGTTTGGTTCCGAGTCCAAAGAGTGGCCTCCAATGAATCGTTGCCCCGATGTTTAACAAAATAGCCAGTCAATTTGTGTGATGGCCTCTGTTGGCTTGCACCGCACACATTCATTGGTGCAGGGCGGTAAGGGTGAAGATCTTCCAGTTGGATTCCAATAAGGCTTCCAGAAATAATGAATGTTCCCAAACTGCGTATCAACTGCAATGTGGCGATTAGCAGTTGACACCAGAACGCTCACTACAATGACATTACTAGACGTTGGGCACGCATTGTGAATGTCACTGTGCAAGTACCGGGACTGGAATCACACTCATGAACTGTCTGTGAGAAAAGCATAGGCATAGTTTTCTCATTTAAGCCGCTGCAACCTTCATGTCCCATGCTTACTTCTTAAGATCTACCTACTTTCGCAGCAAAGCCCAAATTTAGGATGCGAGCTCCTTGGCAGCAGCAAGTGCCTGAAGTGCAATCAAGTGTTGCGTCTGCGACAAAAGCGGTACACATCTACGTGAATGTTGGACGATGGTGGCCTCAAATTGAGCTTTGGCAGTTGGATCTCCTGGCTTCTTGTCCTGACGTCGGATTCTGGTACGGTGTTGTTCAAAAAAGCACCAACTCAACCTTCAAAACGACAAGTGCATTTCGGCGACCCTGTCCGGATGGCAATCCAAGCTCCTCTTACGAAATGCACTTTCGATGGCCGAGGATGGTGCATCAAAATCCTGTCAAACCAAGAACTCACCTGTGCTTTTAGCAATGGATTCAGCCTTGATGCCAAGGATTTCAAAGGGGCAGGGCTGCACCATGGCGCGGCATGGCCAGAGTCACTGACTCCAAATGCTCGCTGCTAAGATTGTTGACCACACCAAATAATCATAGAATAAATTGCTGAAAGAAAGGTGGCACGAGCGGTGAGGAAGCTGCTTTTAGGGTGCACTTGTGCGTATGTTTGGTGAACATATGTTGCCTCTTGTGAGGCAATACCAATCCAGATTCCATAATGCGGATTCTGTGGCACCAAATGCAGCAGGGAAGGCTTATCGGCTTATCGGATGTTGCTAAGATTGATCTGAGCCTCCTGTTGCGTAAATATCGACTAAAGAAAACCATTGCAACATATTGCAACTGTTCTGAACTTCAACTTGGTCTCAGTCCCAGCCTTTTGAAGTGCTGCTATTCGCCTTTGTAGCTCCTGGCGGTTCAGCTATCACGCTCAGTGTCACTTCGCCCAGGGAATGCTGGTTTGCATAGAGCTTCCGCAGCGGTGGCACAAAAACAGGCTATCAAATCTGGAGCTGTGGAGCACGGCTTCCCTTTTCACATAGAGCACCTCCAAGTGGCCTTTGGGAAGGGACACCGCATCAGCTGGAGCCTCAATTGGGTTTTTGGAGCACTTTCCTCAACGAATGGAGGGAGGGAGG